GTCAGGAATGCCCCAGGGGGAGGCAGTGTGTGTATGTGCCCGCACACCCACTGGACATCAAAACTGGACAGTCCCAAAGGGATAGTCCTGATGGGGTCATGCTTTGAGGGGCAGGGAGAGGCCGCTCTCAGGGTGCTGGGGGAGTACACATCAGCTGTCTGAAAAGGGTGGAGTAAGGTGCAGGGCGGGTGGCTGGGAGCCATACCAGGTTAGCAGTTAGTAGTCACCCATCCCAAGGGCTAGCTAAAGGAGTCACTGGGTGGATTCAAACCTCCAACCTCTAGGTTAGTTGTTGTTAAGTGCCGTCGAGTCAGTTCCGACCCATAACGACCCTTTGTAGGGTTTCTGAGGAGCGGCTGGTGAGCTGGGTTAGTATTCAACCCCAAAGCACACCCATTGCTGCGGAGTGGCTCCCAGCACTCCCAGCTGCCCTGGAGGATGGAGAGAAGGGCTTCCTAGGGTTTCTGAGATTGCCATCTCATTGGGGGCAGGCTACCTCATCTCTCTCCTCCAGAGTGGCTGGTGGGTTTGAACTCACAACCTTTTGGGAGCAGTGGAACCTTAACTCTTGTGCCAACAAGGCTCTTGGTCTATGCTTATTTTTGGGAAGTGCCATCGAGTTGATTCCAACCCATAGCGACTCTGCATAGGGTTTCTGAGGAGCAGCTGATGGGTTTGAACCACCAACCTTGCAATTAGCAGTCCAGGCCTTTCCTACAGCGCCATAGCTGGTTAGTGATTGAGTCACCCTGAGGCCTTACTTCCTTGTGAAAAACGAGGAGAGAAAAACGCAGAGATGGGGAGACACTCAGGGAGACAGCTATGAGAAGACGGAAACAGAGACTGAAGTGATGGGGCCACAAGCCAATGACATCTGGAGGAGACAAGGACTGTGCTTTTCCTAGAGCCCTCAGAGAGGGCAGGGCCCTGCTGCCATCTTGGTTTCAGATCTCTAGCCTCCAGAAGGTGAGATGGCATTCAACAACAACAATGTTCTTGACTCCTTAGGAGCCCTGAGGGCACAGTGGGCTAACCAATGGCCTACTAATTGCAAGGTGGGTGTTCAAGTCCCTGAGAAAGATGAGGCAGTCAGCTTCTATAGACATTTCCAGTCTCAGAATCCCTAAGGAGCAGTTCTACCTGTCCTGTATGATCAATGTGACTAAATACTGGTGGATTTGGTTAGATTTTTGGGTTCTTCACTCCGGAGTCCTTGGGTGGTACTGATCTGCTAACTGGAAAGTTTGAGTTCAAGGTATGAGTTCATCTGGAGATACTGAACAGGAAAAGTAAAACATTAATTGCCTTGTCCTCCCAGGAAACAAGCTAGACTGTTAATCAGGTTACTGAGCAGGACCAGTCCTCCCCGCCCAGGAGACAAGCTAGACTACTAACCAGGTTACCAAGCAGGACCTATCTTCTGGTTTTGCTTCTGTCTTCAAACAGGTCTGTAACCTAGCCCCTCCCTGATTCTGACCCCATATAAGCCTGTACTGACCTGCACTAGGGGCTCAGAATCTGGAGAAGTTAGCTCCTCTGAGCCAGCCAGCTTAATAAGCCTGAAACTTTGCTTCATCTCTCAGAGTAGCCTTGGTTTCTTCGATGACAGATCTGGAGCTGCTGTATCAATACCTCAGAAGAAAGACCTGGCAATCTACTTCCAAAACCCCTATGGAACACCATTTTAGTCTGGCATACGTGAGTCTCCATGAGCTGGAGTTTGCGTCGCAGCGACTGGTACTATGGATCCATTGGGAGGCAAGCGGTCCTGAACCGTGTTTCCTGGCCTAAGGAATGGAGCCAGGATGCCTTCAGAAGGACTTGCTGTCATGACCAGTCCATTAGAATGAGAAGGTGGCCCTGGCTCGGGAAGCCATGACACCAGGCCCAATGCTAAGGCTGATCATGTGGCTATTCTGGGACCACGCACTCTCTCCGTGAAATGTTATCCCTCAGCTTGCAAAGCCACCCACGCCTAAAAATATCTCCAACGTTCAGTTGGCTGCCCACTTCATCCTGTTGATTTACACAGAAGTGACAGCTGAAATGTTCAATCCATGTGGGCTCTGCCAGCAACAGTCCACTAAAGGAAGGCTCTGAACTCCGGCGATCTTGTCGGAAAGAACACAGCACTGACAGAGGAGCCCAAAGGCATCCAGGAAAACCCATTCCTGCTTAACCCTCTATTCCCAGTGCTCATGGAACTGAACGATTATCCTTTTCTGTCTAGAACTTTCTATTCTGGGTACTTCGGTCAGAGACCCTGGTGGCACAGTGGGTTCAGTGTTGGGCTACAAATGGAAAGGTCAGAGGTTTGAACCCACCAGCTGCCCTGTGGTAGAAAGGTGAGGCAGTCTGCTTCTGTAAGGATTTACATCCTCAGAAATCCTATGGGCAATTCTAATCTGTCCTATAAGGTCCCTGTGAGCTAGAATCGCTTTGACAACACTGGGTTGAAGCTAACTTTGCATGGAATGGTTCTGGAAAATTCCACTGTGGTGGTATTTTCAACATATCTGGGTCCCAAGTCAAGGCACATGATTCACCATGACTTATATCTGGTGTGCAACAAGAGGCTCCACCAACACCCTGGGGCACCCTGGGGGTGTTGCTGATCTCTCACTGACCCTGAAATGGAAGTAGAGGGTCAGCGAGAAAGAGGTAAACTGACACGGGAGCGGCAATATCCGCTCAGACATCGGCACGATTGTGGGGATGGTGCAGAAGTGGACCGTGTTCTGTTCTGCTGGACGTAAGGTCACTGTGAGAGAGAAAGCCTTTCCCTAAAGCCTGGGCTCTGAATTCATACTTCTAGCCTCCTAGAAACGGTGAGAAAATCAACTTCATAGCCACCCCCTTATAGTATTTCTGTTACAACACTAGAGACTGGAGGCACTAGGGACCGAGGTTGTTGTGCTATTTTGACTGGCCAGAACCTGGGGGTCAGTCTGGAGAGAGGCTGATGGAGGCTGGGCCCCCTGCAGGCCTCTGCTAACCTTCCCGGGACCACAGTGCTGCACACACACCCCGCCCCCCCCCCCAGGAGTTACGCCTCTCTCAGTCTGCAGTGCCTCTTCCTTGCACCCCAAGGTCCCACCAACCAAGTGTACTCTCTCCTGAGATGCCAAACATGAGGGACAAGTTCTCTGAACCCCCTCTCTAACTGGAGTGCCTCACTGATGCTAGTTTGCATACCACAAGGGGCAGGGCTGGAAAAGCAGGCAGACATCCATTCTTGCCCAGGTGGGCAGCTGTCAGAATTAAAGCTGACTTCTGAGAGGAGGGGAGGGGAGTGGGGGAGCTTGTGCAGAGATGTGAGGGGCTTGTGGGCAGTGGAGGGGGTGTAGAAGCTGGTTCCAGTGGGGCCCCTGTGCTCCCTACGGGGCTCAACGCCCAAGGTCTCCCCTCCACTGTGCCCAGCTGCTAGCTCCAGCTGGCTACTTCGTAGGTGCCTCAGGGAGGGGTGAGGCCACCAGGGGGCGCTACGTCTCCAGGCTCCTTCCTCCCTCCCAGCGGCCCCCTGCA